TCGAGACTTTCACGTGATTCAGTCAAACTCGTGGAGGCCCAACTACGACGACAAGGGCTCTCGTTCGATACTTCCTCAAGATGTATTCGCAAGGGCCCGTGCCAGAGAGGTCCCCGAACTTAAGAGTGGCGCTCTCGATCGAGACTTTTTCGTAATTCAGGCAAGTTCGTGGAGGCCCAGACACGGCGACAAGGGTTCCCGTCCAATATTTCTCCATCTGTCTTCCGAGAGCCCCTGGCCAAAGAGGCCTCCGAACTCAGGAACGGCGCTCTCGCTCGAGAGTTCTTCGCATATCAGTCAGTGGTCGACAAGGAAGACATTCCCCCCGAAAGGGGGTGCAATCGAAGACGAAGTGGGCGGGTACCGAGGGTTGGGTATACAAATGCAAAACACGCGTGCTGTTGTTTTTGATGATGTTGTTGTTGGTGGTGATGCTGCTGCTGCTGCTCCTCCTCCTCTTCCCCCTCCTCTTGTTGTTGAACTTTAATTTCTGTAAAATAATTGTTGTTGATCCCCCCCGTCAGGTGCGCATTTTTGTTTCGATTGAAGTGCTCTTCCTGGGGCTCGCACTCTGTTTTTTATTTGGGAAAGTCTTGAGGGTCAAACTGTGTTGTTGGCCCCTGGTTTACAGCAACAACGGCTCCCGCCGGATACTTCCTCACAATTTATTTAATCGCTTCGCTCATTCCGCCGGCCCGTATTGGTGCACGGCTGTCGAGATCCCGTGTGATCGTTTTCAATGAGGTGCTGCTGGGTCGTTTTTTTGTCTATGGATGGCTGGCTTTGGGTGATTTCGCAGGCGGGAACCATTCTTTGCCCGCCTGAACCTTCTGTTTCGGAAGGTGGCGGCTCGTGAATACGATCGCAGGGAGCAAGACAACATTCTTCAGTTTCCTTTTCTTCTCTACTTCATCCCTCCGCTGCTATGTGTCGTTGTGTGTAAGGGGGGCGGGGTTTTGGGGGTAGCAGGGTAGAAGTGCGAGCGTGGCAAAGGCGAGCGGCAGAGGAGGAGGAGGAGGAGGGGGGAGAGGAGGAGGAGGTGGAGGAGGAGGGGGAGGAGGAGGCGGAGGAGGAGGGGGACGTTTATTGGGATCTCGTGGGATGCCTCTCGAGAGCTGCGGTGCTGCAGTTGTTGCGCAGCGTCGGGCCTCGGGGTTGGGGCGCCCCCTCGTCGTGGCCACGGCTGGGCGCTCAGCTCGGACAGCTGGTCAGGGCGCCCCCTCGGGAGGGGTCCACGGGTTAATTTTAAGTCGGGCCTGTCCCTCTACAGGAGGAAAATTCAAAAGTAGTCAAACGATAGTCTGGGGACGATTTATTGAGTACTTCTTGGCATTTTTTTTTGTTGTTCTGGGTATTCTTTGTTTTTCGTCCACAATCCGCCTGTAGGGGGACATGCCCGACCTAAGGTTGATGTTGAGCGACGTTTGGTTCGGGCAGGTTCGCGCCGCGTCGACCCGGCTGCGACCGCAGCGTGGGGGTTCAGGGTCGAGCCTTTCGGGGGCGGCCAAGAGGGGGGTGATTACTAGGGGGGGTGGGGGATATCATGGCGTGGGCAATGATATTTCCTCAGATTTCATGGCGCCTCTTCTTCTTTCATTACGTCCCTGGGTCCCCTCCTTTGGGCCGCGCACATGCCGCCAGCCATGATTTGCCCCCCCTTCATCTTCGACGCCCCCCTCTTGGCCGCCCCCGAGCGCTGCGGTGGTCCAGAATCGGCCGGAGTCGAGATGTCTTCGCTGCCGGAGGGCCAGGGTCGTGAAAGTTTGCGCGATCCACGCGGTGTCAGAGACCAGTGCCCGCGTCATCGCGACGTGAGTGTCCCGTAGTTGCGTCTCCCTGCGTATCGCAGCGGTGGCCATGGCAGAGATTTTTGAGAGCTGGTGCTTCTGGACGCCTGGATCACACAAACTTGAAGCGGCTTCTTACTTCAACACTCGATCATTCCTTTCGTTTCTATCCATCGTGCTTGCTTGATCGAGCCGATGTCCAATGTACTCGAACCGCCATCCTGTTCATGTTTATTCCAACTTCTTCCCGACGCTGTGTAGATCTACGCGCCATGTTGGGACGTGCCCCTGCGAAAAGCGCAGGGGCTTCCAGGTGTGGGTTCTACACCCATAGTGCCCCGCGAAGTAGGACGGACGGACACGCATTTTTGTCAGTCGGGCATGTCCCTCTACAGGAGGAATGTTCAAAAATAGTGAAAACATAGTCTGGTGACTATTTTTAAATATTTTGGGGCCATTTGGGAATATTGTTTTGACTATTCTTAATGTCTCTCCAAAAACCCGCCTGTCGGAGGACATGCCCGACCTACCATTGCTTGTCATCCACGCTCCATCCCTCCCTTCCCTTTGCAGGCCAGTGGAATCCCCCCGCAGGGCCGCTGGTAGGCGCTTCTTACAGCGTTCCCGGAGGCAAACATCCCATACTCTTCGTCCATGTTCTCTCTGGCTGTGCTCGGCGTATCCAATCATCAAGACATCGAACCATTGGCTCGCAAGTGCTCTTGTCTTGACCTTTCTCCCGTGCTCCACTTTTCCCCTCCTCCAGGTCCCCTCCCCTCCCTCATCTTTGTCGCCCCTTCTTGTCCTTGTCCTCCCTCCTTGTGTCTCCCCTTCCCCTCGCCCCAGGCTGCCCTGTGTCCATGCCTCCACTGCGCTTGGGGAGCTTGCTTGCTTCAGTGCTGCTATTCCTGTCATCCCTGTCGCGCCTTTTCCTCTGCGCTTTTTCGTCGCTTCCTTCTTCGCTTTCTTCGCTTCCTTCCTTCGCTTCCCTTTCTTCTGCGCCTTCCTTTTCCTTTGCGCCTTTCCTTTTCGTCGCTTCACTTCTCCTTCGCGCCTTCCCCTTCTCCCCCCCCCCCGTCTCCGTCCTGGGCTTTGCGGGTGGCGCGCCCTGGCCGCTGCTCCGCCTGCGGAGCGTGGGGCGGACTCGTGAGACCCACGCGCGTCGACGTGCTCAGCGCTCGCAGGCTGACACCAAGGAGGCTGACGTCAATGTAGCTTCAAGTCGGGCCTGTCCCTCCACAGGAGGAGCATTTCAAATACAGTAAACAAATCGTCTGGTGACTATGGTTTAGACTATGTTTGAGCAGTTTGGGATGTTTGAGTATTTTTGAGGTTTCGTCCACAATTCCCCTGTAGGGGCACAGGCCCGACTTAAGCTTAGCGCTCGCAGGCTGACACAAAGGAGGCTGACGTCAATGTAGCTTTGAGTCGGACCTGTCCCTCTACAGGAGGAATATTTCAAAAAGAGTAAACGAATGGTCTGGAGACTATCGTTTGACTATTTTTGAGCATTTTGGGAGCATGTCTTGAGTATTTTCGATGCTTCGTCCACAATTCCCCTGTAGGGGGACAGACCCGACTTAAGCTTAGCGCTCGCAGGCTGACACAAATGAGGCTGACGTCAATCTAGCGGGTGTCTTCCTTGCCTTGCCTGCACAGCACAGCGTTGCGCGCCCCAGCTTCACAGCATACTGCTACCGCAGCATTGGGCAGCATAGTGCAGCAACACATCACAGCTCTGAGCCTTGTCATCGCATTGTTTTCGCATGCTGCATGCCATGCAACAAGCAGTCACACATAAGACGACACAGCATCACACACCATATCACATTCCACCGTGCTTCAGTATGACATCATCACACATATCATAACATCTTGTATCATACCATGCACATACCATGCCACCGCGCAACACAACATACGTTTGTCGCTGGTCATCGAAGCGCAGCATTGTTCAGTCTGACATGCCTGTCACACACGCGTATCATACCATAACGCATCAATCCGCCATCATTTGTTCGCACAACAATGGCTATTGGCATGTGAACATTACGAGCCACATAGTATCTTCATGCTGCCTTGGCGCAGCATGTCACACATACTGCATGCACGACCGTGTGCGTAAGCACTGCGTTGGTTACAACTGGCGTAACTCATGCGTACCATTTCCGTTTAGCATTGCAGTGCGATTTACACTCGCGATACCGCTAGCACCAGTTCTAGACACGTCGCATAACCCAACCACCAGCCCATCCAGACACGATGCCCAGGCGAGTTGCCCTGAGGGAGGCGTAGGAGCATGCAGTGGACTCAGGGGTTTGGGAAGCCGTCATACCCCAAGAGGGGAATCGGAATCGGAACCGGCTCCATCGCAGTGCGATATGACAACCACCCATCCCCGAGCTATGAGCGCTTAGCCCGTCTCGAGTCCCGACACTGATAGTTGGGCCATTGCTCTCGATCGAACTTCTGAATGTACCTCTTGCGGGTGCTGCTCAGGGGCTGGTTGCAATATTAGACCAAGGTTGGCCTCAATTGCTTACCCCCCAAAAGAGAAACCACACGCCTCACACAGCCAACCACGCAGGCTGCCATGGTATTTCATCACATGCGTAGTCATGATCCCCCCCAATACTGTGCAGCGGTTGACCCCTCGGCATGCTGACACCCCACAGAACCAAAATTCACGGGCGGGCAGCACGGGCTCCTGCGCCAGAGGGTGGTCGTTGCCGCAGACGCTGATCCGAAGCAGCGGCGGCGCCTGCGGCGGTGTCGTCGAGCTGGGGGGCTCGACTCGATGACAGACACGATGCTGGGAGCGGGGGGGGGAGAAGGAGGAGGAGGAGGATGAGGAGGAGGATGAGGAGGAGGAGCAGGAGGAGGAGGAGGGGGCGGGGGAGCAGGAGGAGGAGGAGGAGGAGGAGGAGGGAGGAGGAGGAGGAGGAGGAGGAGGAGGAGGAGGAGGAGGAGGAGGAGGAGGAGGAGGGGGAGGAGGAGGAGGAGAAGGAGGAGGAGGAGGAGGGGGAGGAGGAGGAGGAGGAGGAGGAGGAGAAGGGGAAGGTCCGCGCCTTGTGGTACCCGTAGCTCTGGGCTCCGTTGACGTGCGGGCAATGGCCTCGAGCGTGGCACGAAGGAGGCGCCTGCGGACCAGACCTGCTTCCTTTTCCACCGTGGCTAGGCGTGCCCTGGACTCCTGCGAGACTCTGGCACTGAACGCTGCGATGGAAGCAAACGGGTCGGCGACAGTGTTGCCAACGACCAACCATTCTGGGATTTTGGAAGAGGTGATCTCCTCGGGCTCCAGGTGGGAGGGGACCTGCAGTACAGATACCCGTGATACATCACGCCCACCAACCGACCAAGGACCAAGCCGATCATACTCCATACATCACCAGTGGAAGCACTAGGGTCCTCGCAACGCTTCTAAATGCACCCGTCGACAACATAGCTTGTACCCGACACGGAAACCAAATATCCCGAGGTATGCATGATAGCCAGTAGGAACCCCAACCATTCCCCACGCGGTACCGTTTGACCAGGTCCAGGGAGTCCTCCAAAAGTTGCAGGCTCAACGGCAAGCACATCAAAGCACGCCAGCGTGGAGACGGCCACCCCGACTCGTCGAACCCGAGGGTCACGGCTGTCCTCGCCACCGCACGCGTCTCCGAACACCATTGTTGGGTCTTCGTAAGACCGCAAACCTAGCCCAGCAACTTCATGAAACTTGCTTTCAGAGTGGAACGTAACCCAAGACTCCTGAGAAATCGGCGGCTTGATTTTTGGTCCACGGGGCGGGGATGACAGCATCGAACCAGACACAAGCTTCCGAGTCCCGACCTGACATAGCACGAGGTACAAAATACTTACTTTGGTCGTAAACTGGGATCCCCGTGTGGCATGGGCAAGCCGCCCCGGCTGCAAAGGCGTCTCGCAATCCTGACCGCAGCGCCTATACATGTCATCTTCTTCGGACGTGGCCTCGTCCTTGATGCGAGCTCTTGGCCACGTCCCGCCGACAGCGATGGCAACCATCGCCTCGAACAGGGCCAGAGCCCGCAACACTCGCCGATATGACTGGTTATCGGAGCCTCGCTGCAAACCCTCTCAGCAGAAGTGCCCACTAGCACTCTCACACAGCTCGCTGCGGACCGAATCCTCGAACTCCTGGACAAACCATTGACATCTTCAGAACGGGTTACGACCTCATCGGGGAACGTCCAAATCGCACCTGGCCCGTCATCATCGGGTGGCTGGCGCGTGCCATTGTGTCGGGGGAAGGCGGTCCCAGCAGACTTCCAGGCGATCTGCCGCGACTGCCGGAATGGGGCCGCGCACCGCCTGCGCCACGTGTCTCTGGTGGCAGGCTGCCGAGCGAGTAGAACAGCACGCGGCCAAGCAGCACGACTAGCGGGTCGGATACCGGGTTCCTCCAGACAGTCCTTTGGACGCAGTCCCAATTGGCTACAACTGAAAACGGCCCATTGGACGCCGCAATTGAATCCAGTCCCTTGGGCGCTTATGCCCTTGATCGTGCCCATCAGCTCGGAACTCTAAACACCGCCGTTCTTCACCTTCCCCTGGTAGCCGAAGATACAGTGTTCCTTAGCCTGCGACGACACTGCAAACGACCATCCCACAATGCGCCATATACCTGATGACCATACGTACCTGCTGCTTGCGCTCCTGCTCGTTCGATCATCCCCGTGCGAAGGTACGTCCGAGAGGCTCGTGCAAACTTGCGGATGCGTTAGTTCATGGCTTCGGCTTTGATGGTCCGCTGCGTGCGTGTGGCTTTTGCTGGTCTGCCTGCTGCAAGGTCCACGCCGAGGTGACAGGCCTGCGCGCTGTGCTGCACTTTGAAACCACGACGGCGTAAACAGCGAACTATGTGCTTGCTGTCGGCGACGTTCGAGCAGACAACGACGCTCCTCTCAGAGACGGGGGGCCCGTGCTCAACTAAAGCCTGACACGTCTCGAGAATGCCTTGGTAACTATTCCGACGCACCGCCTGCTCAGATCCTGCAGACCTTCGAGCCGGGCCATCGACCCAGACACGATACGACATAGCTGGACGAGCTGCCGTCAACCGACTGGGGATGTAAAGCACCATGCGTCTCCCGATGCGAGTCCCACTACGGAGCCCCTGCACGATACTCCGAGACACCTGGAAGGCCTCGGGGTAGGAGCCCAACTGGAGACCGTGCGGGGAGCCAACCGTCTGGAGCTCGAGGAAGCGGACGACGGGGGGGACCCCAGGCGGAGGGCGGCTGACGCGAGAGGCCCCCACATCACCCCATCGTGAAACCCCTTGATGTCAACAAGGCCCTCACCGAACGACATGTCCAGGCGAAGAAGAGCTTCGCCGTGCAAAGCTCGCAAGAACAAGCTCATGGAAGAGCGGAGCTGCCTGCGACGGCGGCGTCCCGGGCGGGCTTGGAGTCCTGAGGCCAGGTTCTGATAGTGCCCTCACGGGCACAGGGCCGAGTCCTGGAGGACATGGGCATGCGTCTGGCTTTTGAATTCAAAAACAAGTTTTTTTGAATTCAAGAACCAATCCTGGAGAACATGGACATGCGTCCAATCACTCTGCCCTTCCCCCCGCTCTTCGTCCCCGGGAGACGCCCCTTCCCACAACCAGCAAGAACCTGCCCAGGGCCAGGTGCAGCGCTCCTCGCGGGCATTGAACAGGCAACGAGCCGCGAGTGCAGCGAGC